GCTTGCTGGGGAATTCTGGGAGTTGAAGTCCGCACCTCTTAAAGTGGCCAAGGTTGAGAAACATTGCTTTATACCAGCCTGGGCCAGATCCATATTGGGGAAGGTGATTCAGCAAACAGGACCCCTCTCCAAATTTTTTCCCCATCTGCAAAGTGACTGCAGAACCAAAATCCAGGAGCCAAAGCAAATGATCAAGGCTCGCTGCAGGGTTTATGATATCGACCGTATGTGCCAGAAGGGACCCCACCAACAGGATGGTGGGAACCCCCCCTTCAAACAAGAGACGCCCTGATATTTATGCATTTCAGAAAAGGGAAAAAGGATGCACGCATACATATTCATAAGCCATAGATCTCGGGTTACTTCCTGCCCTCGCGCTATGTACGATCTTCAAAGAAAACCATGGTCTTCGTGAGAAGAAACAGGTCAAAAACAGGGGGCAATTTAGGGTCCCAAATGCCAGACACCCTTTACTGGCATCTTGAGGACAAATTCATGGGCTTCCACTGATAAGGTTTACAACAGGCTGGTGTGAACTAGACAGTAAGCCTATTATTTTATTTTATTTTATTTTATTTTATTTTATTTTATTTTATTTTACTTTTTTATTTTATTTTATTCATCAAATTTGTCACCGCCCATCTTGTGAAATGACTCTGGGCAGTTTGCAACAAAATAAAAATCCATGAACTATTAACCAGATGGCTGAGGCTATTGCAAATTCCTTAGGTTTCGGGTGGATTTAAACCATCCCATGTGTCCGAAACCTTCTTTCCTCACAAGACAAAATCAAAAGCAGTGCAAAAACACCCAGGCTAGGACAGACTTTGTCACTCATATTTCTTGGCTCCAAAAAACATCCCACATGGCTTAACATTTGAGGATGCTAACCCTCTTCTGTAATTCTCCTTTTCTTTCCACCTGCCCAAATGGAGTACCTGAAGAAAATGATTCAGGCCGGCGAGTTGTCCTGCCTCCAGGGGTTCGTGAAGGTTTTAAAAGAAGAGGATCGAGTCCTGCTGAAAAACCACTGTCACACCAGGGCTGTGACAGTCCTGAAAAACAAGCAAGGGGAGGCTTATCTGAAGGAAGCCATTGCCTACCTCTCCTTGGCCATCACCACGGCAGGTGAGATGTCCCAAATTATGTTTCTTTTGTTTAGACGTTGCACTTCTCTCCCATCTCTCCCTCTGAAGTTCAAGGGAAAAGCTTCTTCCCTCCCTTGAGCTTACAACAACAACCCTCTGAGGTAGGCTGGATGGGTTAGAAGTCCCTCAGGGTTCGTCAGGGACTTGGGCTGGGGTGTCACGGCCAAGGAGAAAGTTTCTTCTGCCATTTTTTCCCCTGTTCTCGTACAACTTGGTGAGGATGGTGATTCCCTACTCCGTGTCAAGAGTTGGGCAAGAATTGCTGGAGGAGGAGGAGGAGGAGATACAAGCGTAGAGTTGGAAGGAGCTTTGCAGCTCATCTAGTCATACCCCCTCTAAGTGCAGGATCCACTAGAGCAGGGTTTCTCAACTTGGCAACGTTAAGCTAGGTGGACTTCAACTCCCAGAATGCCCCAGCCAGCATGTTCTCTCCCTTTGTCAGGTCCCACCCAAGAACCACAAGGAAACAGTCCAGCCAAGTTATTGCTTAAGCCCTATAGACACAATCTTGCCAGACAAAATCTGTACTACTGCAACTAGTGGATATACCCTGGGAGATTTTAGGGAGTGGCAATTCTGAACCTATTCCTCTTCCCACGCTCCTGCTCCAGGCTGTGTTGTCTCTTGTCCCACTCCCCTTCCTGGAATGTGCCCCCTCCTCCCTGAGAACGTGGCGCTCTGCTGCATTCCATCACACCCTCCAATTTTCTCTCCTGTTGGCTAAGCCTACCCAGATCCTTCAACCGTTCCTCCTAGTGTTGGTTTCCAGACTCTTGACCACCTGGATGGCGTTCCTCTAAACCTCCTCCAATTTGTCCCTGTCCTGGGATGCCCAGAACTGGACCCAGGGTGCCAAATAGGATCCAAGCAGGGCAGAGAAGATGGGGATAATTCTTCCCCATGATCTGGACTCTCTGCTCCTCTAAATGCACCCCAAGATAGCCTTGGCCTTTTGAGCAGCTCATGTTTCACTTCAAAAAGCTGAACATTAATCTTCAAATAGACTCGCAAAACCAGTCAGGAAGGTGGCTGGAATGATATCCAAAGAATGCTGAAGAAAGCTAGAAACATTGTTTATCGTCTTTTGGGTGGAAAGCATTTGTACAGCAGAATTTATGATGCCTTTGACAGTTAGCCTTTCTCACAAACCATAGAGTCCTTTACATCTTTCGGCAAGCCCTGTGTGGTTAGACTTCCAAAACTTTTTAATAAAGTCAGAGATTTCGGGGAAAACTTAGCAGTTTCCTTTAGATAAGAGAGACCAGAGTCTGATTAATGGAATAAACTGATAGCAGCCATTAACGATTATGGCTATTCTTATTTAAGGACTTGCTTAAGGAAAGGCTGCCAGCTCTGAGATAGGAGGTCAGGGCAAAAATGTTTTAAAAAATTGTAATAAGCCTATTGTCCATTTCAAGGTCATCATACCCAAATGGAAAGCATTGCATTCAGGAGGCACTGTTTTTTCTCACCTAGGGGATAATGCTGTGGATTCCCTTCTGGTGCGCGCTCGTTGTTACGGGCTCCAGGGACAGAAAAAAACAGCGATATTTGATTTCAAGGCCATCTTAAAAGAAGATCCGAGAAACACCCAGGCTCTTTGTGGAAAAGGGTTCGTTCACCTGGCCCTGGGCCAGAAGAAGGTGGGAACTTTATTTAATCATATTTAATTTATGACTTGGGAGTTTTAAAGCTTTTGCAAAAGGAGTTGCAAAATATTGATTTCATTAAAAAATCAAACACACACAGGGTAGTCGAGGGGTGGGAAATATCCATAATAATGGTAGAGAACTGAGCTAAACCATGATTGTAGCAAGAAAGGATAGTGGTGAAACCCAGCTGATAAACGGATGATGAATTCTTATTGCTTGGAGATAAGACGCATTCAGTTTTATCTCTGATGAATAGATATGGGGTCTTCATCTCCCAAATTCCCAACAATAACTGTGCCAGCTGGGGCATCGTCTGTATGGAAAGACTGTCCCTCAGCTCCCAGAATTCTTAGCAAAGATCCCACTGGCTGAGGCATTCTGGGAGTTGAAGTCCATGCATCTGGAGGACATCTAGATTGGAGAAAGTTGGTGTAGAATCCAAGGAAGGCTTAACTAGAGAGAAGTCCTTGATCAAGCGTAACCGAAAAGATCTCTTTCTAGATTTCAGGAAGCTGGAAAGGGAGGGTAGTTGCACCAGTCCTCTTCAGCAGGGTTGACTTGGTCATTTGGGATGGGGAGACCTAGTTAGTAGTCCACGTCTAGTTGAGAAATGTAAAACAAAGTCCTCAGGACAGAACAGAGTGAAGAATGTGCTCACCTACATGGGCTTCTGGATGGGAATTTAGAATAAGCATATACAGTACATGGGACCTCTTCCCACACCAAGAAGACTTCAGCCATCGTTAAGTTGCAGTCACACATCTGTATTCACATCTGTTTGGCTTGGTAGGTGAGCCACCTTTGATCAAGGCTCAGCAGGGTTTAACTTTTGAATTCCTTTCTCTTTCCCTTCCTCTCTTTTTCTTTGCTCCTCCCTTCCACCCCTTGCATACAAACCAAAGTCCAAAGTGTCGCCTTCAGAGAAAGGGTGCCCGAACTGGGTTATCCGCTTTCTGAGAAAATAAAGCCATCCCAACAGCCGACTTTCAGATGTATGTTTCCCCTGCTTCTTTCAGCCTCAAGAATTGCACTAGAACTCTTCTCTTTATCTATTCTATTTTTATTTGATTTAAGGGTTTTCGAAGCATGCCCAGCTCATAATTTATGAGTGGCATACATCAATAAAAATCAAATTGATCAACATCAATCAAAAATCATATAAGACCGGCCTATAAGCACAAGCCCCCATGACAGCTGTTTTTTTCTCTTCGTCTTTTCAAGGGTTTTTCCTTGTATTGCATACTGATGTCAGAAAGTCTGGAACTCTTGTTCCTGTTTCAAAAGTGGTTGGTCATGGGACACTCAGAAAAAAAAGTGAAGTTCAAACATTCCCTAGGTTCCCTCGAATTAATTCAGGGGGGTTGCAGATTCTCAGCCAGCTGCAATAATGTTCATTGAAGCCCAAATGTTGCCTGTGTGCAATTTGATCAGTTATGGCTTCATATTTTATTTGAAGTTTGAGAAACTTGGTCTTATTCTATGCCCTTTACTTTCTTAGACACTCCAAAAAGGAAGGCAAATGCTCAGCCCATTTTTAGTCACCGTTTTCTCCACTCACCCAGGAGTCAACGCAAGATCTGATCGCAGCTCTCCAAGGGGATCCAGCCTCAGCCATAGCAGAAATCTGCTCTCTAAAGCCAGATGCTCAAGTCCAGATTCGCTCTTGGCTGCTGGAACACTGCAGGACTGCGTTGATGGACTTTGGCAGGAGCCAAGACCCACTTGTTGTAGAGACGCTGGAGGAGCTCTCCAAAGTGGGGGAATCACTGGTGGAGATGGACAACAAGGACAGTGAAGCTCACATCCTCTGTGTTGACTTTCTAATTGCAAGGGGTAGGAGAGATCTGGAATAACTTCAAGTAGGTCACAAATGACATTTGGAAATTCCCCACCAAATCAGTGAGCAGAGAGGATGGGTGGTTCTAGCTTGGACACCAACCTTATTCAGATATTTCTCCTCTATGTAGCTTCTGCTGGAAGATTGAGGGTGGGTGTCCTACCTGTGGCCCACCTATTCCTCCACATTGGTATGGCTATTTCTAGCCCTAAGATTTAAGAAAATTTTTTTTTCTAAAGAGGTCTCAAAGATAACTGAGTTGCCTCCAGCTTTGAAATGACATTTCTACAGCAATTTTTAACACTGGTGGCCAGGCATATGGGGAGAACCCTTTTGTTTTCCGTTAAATTGAAGAAGAATGGTGGGGGGAAAAGGGAAAATAAATATTTGGTTCAGCACTAATGCTCTAAATTAAAAGAGGATTAGTCCAACTCTCAATTTTGTGTAATTCCTGTCTTGATTTTGGCTGACAGGAAGACCCAAGGATGCCCTGTCATATCTCCAGAGGACATTTGGACAAACTGAACCAAATGATGCTGTCAACTCTCGGCTGGGAATTCTGCAAGCTATCTTGGGCAACTTAAATGCAGTCCATGTTTTGGCCACTTTAGCAGCAAAGGACTACAAAGAATTAGAGCACCTGATGGGGTTTTTAGATGCCAACCAGCGGCTAAACCTTGCTCAGGTATGTCCACCACCCACTTGCCCCTTTTTTTTCACTTAATAAGCTGGGTTCACATAACACACTAAACCTGGATTTAGGGAACACAGATGCTGAGTTCCCATCTTGTAGGACATCCAAACCCATAAAACCTATTTACGCTTGATTTCTCAGTTTGTCCAACATGCAAAGACAATGTAGCAAAACCTGCTTTTGATTCTGTCTGGTGCACTTCGCTTTATAGCTAAGCCCTACCTTTTTAAGGGCAATATTTCATGTCATCACATACTCTGGGCTAAGATCTACATTATTGCTCACTGTAATTGGATTTCAGACTGTAAAATAAATTGGAAAAGAGATGTCTTACCTGTGATATCAGACTAGGAGACTAAAATAAGAGAAAATGTTGCCATGGCAAAATTGATCGTACATATCCATAAAAGAAGTTTAATTTCAGGCAAGAATGGCTCCCTTGCATACAATGTATCACCGAGCAAGGGCGATTTAGATATCTGGAATACAGTTTTTAAGACTTAAATATGAACTAACAACAATTGCTAATGTTTGATGTGAAGCTCAACTATCTAAACTATGAACCATGGTTGTGGATACAAATGGAAAAGAAGGGGAGGATGTAATACATGCATTTTAAAAATCTAAGTAAGAATTCACTACTGAAACCACCAGATATTCTTAGTGATTCTTAGGAGTATCCATATTTAAATCAAATTCTCACTCAGAGCCCTGATGTCTTTCAGATGGACCTGATTACAACTCCCATAATGCCCACCTGGGGCTGATGGGAAGTCACACCAGTTAGGCATCATGGGGAACATAGGTCGGGGATAAATCTGAAGGCCATCAGACCACTTTAAGCTGTTCACAATGGAAAAGAGTAGTATGCTTTAAAAAACAGAGCTGAATTAATCCATGGAATCCAATCCACCATTCAGAATGGACCTAGGGTGTTTTGAACCCTCTTAATTTCTAATAACTTCACTTCTGGACCAGTGAGATGGCCTTCAAGTGGGATGAAATTTTGGAACAGCTTGGAAGACACGGCACTTTTAATTTCGACGCAAAGCAGAGTCCGACCATCTCCGCTTCGTGTACCTTCTCATTCGCTTGGATGTGACGTCATGCTAAATCACCTAGACGTACGGTTGAGTGTTGGGTCAATGCAGAACTGGGGTAACCACCATCTTCTTCATCCCTAGGTCGCAGCCAGAGAAGCAAAGGCAATGGTGAAAGAGCAGTGCCATGTAGGAGCTCTGAAATATCTCACCTTGGCTGTTGTGGCAAGCAAAAGTAACCCTCAGTATCTTCGCCAGCGTGCTGCCTGCTGGGCCCAGCTAGAAGACTACAGGAACGCTCTGGAAGATATCCAGAAGGTAGTCCAACAACATGGCACAAATAGCATGAAAACTCAAGTTGGGGACTTCTGTTCCTGGGCGTACATGCTGTTGTCCATTTCGGACGAGGAGCTGGCTGTAAAGCAATATATTAATGCCCTACAGCTTGAAAAGTCCTTGGCCCTGAGCCACATCCTGACTGATCTCAGGAGGGATGAGCTGTCCAAAGCGTTCCTCCGAACCGCCCAATCTTATTTTGCAGCAGACCGTTACGAAGAAGCGTGGACAACAGCAAAATTTGGCCTCCTTGTCGATCAGAACAATCCTGAACTTAAAAAACTAAAAGCGAGAATTAAACGGCAGGCGTCTGGTTGCAAAGTTCAGTAATGTATTGGTTGCTGGTTTTGCACAATCGCATCACCCTTTGCCTGTTCTCCTTTCTTCCCCTCCTTTATGCTTGTAAAAACCTTCTGATAATTCTGGGCAAGGCTGTCTGTGAAACTGAAGGGGGATCATTTTATGGTGTAACCAAGTGAGGCTGCTACACTGTTGGAATAAGAATTTGGTTTATTAATTGGTAGGGTGGGTCAGAATGGCTTAAAGCCTTCTTCAGCTTTTCTCCAACATGTAGGCAGTTCTGGTTTCCACTCCAAAATCAAGGAAAGCTGGGGTATCTATTTCATGCTTGGGGATCAGAGACATGCAGAGGGCCCAGTCATGAATGAGAACGTCAACATACGTTCCACCCCTTTTTAATGCATGTACAATATCATAAAGGCCTACCATTTCTCTGTTCCACTCAAGATGCTGGTTGTTAAAGTTGCTGAGTCTTAACAACTAATACACCAGACCTATTACTGTAATTCTCTCTTCTGTAACTTTGGCCAGGAATCACAAGCTTGCACTGAAATATGGTTATTGGAAATCAGTTTTCCTTTTTTTTTTTGAGGGCCAGTCACTTTCTCTCAGCCCTAGGAAGGAGGCAATGGCA